GCACTAAAAAATGACAAAATCATGGAATTTGCAGGGAAATGGATTTCACTAGAGCTGATTATGCTAATGAAGCTAGCCAATCCCTAAAAAACAAATGCCAAATGTCATCTTTGATATAAGGAGAGCAACTAAGGTCAGAATAGGGGGAAGTTATTTTTAAAAAGTTATCATTTTGTCTTATAAATTATAATTTATGTTAGGAGTAAAGTTGCTGAATTAATATCATTTTTATTTTTCTATTTTAGGAATTAACAGAACAGTTTCATCAAGTTGAATCCCAATTGAATAAGCTAAATCATCTCCTTACTGATATTCTTGCTGATGTGAAGACAAAAAGGAAAATTTTGGCAACTAATAAATTGCATCAAATGGAAAGAGAATTATATGTATATTTTTTAAAAGATGGAGACTACCTGAAAGATGTTGTGGAGAATCTAGAAAACCAATCAAAGATTAAGGATGTTAGTTTTAAAAATTGAAAATTACTAAAAACTGAATCTTTACATCTGTTTTAATGTTTTATGTAATAGGAGATTATATCTAATAAACATGATAATGTTTTGAAATTTGAGATCAATGGACTATTTCATTTAATGGATCCAAGTGTTATAGAGGTTGAACATCCCTAATTAGAAAATTCAAAATCTGATTTCAGTGTGCAGGCATGACACTATAAGTGGAAAATTTCCCATTTGACCTCATGGTACACAACACAAGTGCACTAATTGTGTAAAATTATATGCATATAAACTATACATGAAAAAAGCAAATTTCATGTTTAGACTTGATTTCCATCCCTAAGATATCCCATCATACATATGCAAATATTCTAAAATCTGAAGTACTCTTGGTCCTAGGCAGTTCAGATAAGAGTTATTCAACCTTATTAATTTTTTTTAATAATTGTTCAAAGTACCAGTACTTTATTTGCTAGTTAACACTTAGTACTGGTAAATGTTTACTTATAGTAATGCAAATATTTTTAATAGTTTTTCTTTTACTATTTTTTTAAAAATAGAAGGTGTTAAGTATTTTTAAAAATGTGTAGAACTTTGAACTGACATTTTAAAATCTATAGACCTTAACACACCAAGGCTTCCTTTTTGAGTTTTGCTTTCCAAGGTTTTATTTACTGAAGGTCAACTGTGATCCAAAAACATTAAATGGAAATAGTAAATTGTTAAAATATTTTTATTTGTTCTTTTTAGATATACGTTAGTAGAGTATTTTTTAACATACATATGTGGAGTATAACTTATTAGGTTCCCATTCCTGTAGTTGTACGTGATGAGTTTCACTGCTCATGTGAAATATGAACATAGGAAAGTTCAAGTTGCTTCACAGTCTGTAGTGTGATGGAATCTCAAACCATCCCACTTTGTTCTTGAATCATTCCTTTTCTCAGCATATCTGTGTTGTATATGCTACCTGCCTGTTACTAAGTTGATAACCTTATCATTTATCAGATATATAGAGTTAATACTGTTTCAGTTTCATTAATGCACTGGGGTTTGGACTATATCACCCATGAGTCAGAAAGGACTACTATAAATGAAATAGCTAAATCCCCTTATAGTTGACTGAAGTAAAATTCTGCCACTTAAACTGTATTTTCTCCTAATTCCCTATTGTAGACTGAGATTTAACATTCCTACTTATACCAAGAGTGTCAGGACCCCACTGGCCATTTTCACTTAAGGCAGTGTGTTTTGGGGGACCAACATTTCTGCAAGACAGATCTCAATAATGCTTTGACTTTAGTGTGACTAACATGTCATAAATAGCTTTCAAATGAAATTTAAAATTAAAATTTCAGAATTATATAAAAGTGTTTGCTAAAAGTGTTTAGGATGAACATTTGAATTTCTTAGGAGTGAAAATACTTCAGTGATGGAATAGATTTAATATGGGATATTAGTGTAGTATCTGGACAATTAGAAATTATTTTAAAATTAGTATAAAATAATTTTGAGTAGTTTATTCCTTGAGAGCCCAGTTTATACATTATCTTTGTTAAATATGTTATGAACTTTGTATGGATTACCTTTAAGAATATTCTAAACCTACCTACTTGTTACATGGAATGACAATTAAAAATTATTCATATCAGGTGGGTTTTTAAAAAAATTTTCAGGAGGTAGTTTTTAATAAATGTTTTTAGCTTTACCAGGAAATAATTATGCTTCAGAGCCAGTAAGCCCCGTTAATTTTTGTAATCCATTGAACAAAAAGATTTATATTAAATATTGTATCTGTTATATTAAAAAATTATTTTTGTTAAGTAAACTAATACACTTGAAAATTTTTTAGCAATGAATTTTGTGTGTATTTAGCTATCAGCTTCTCACTTGGGTGATTTCTTTGCTATTTATTTTTTACTATTCTGTTTTTCCTATACTGTTAAACAGTACTGTTTAAATTAGTGCCAGATAGTTTAGACGTGTGACCAGATGCTTGATCTGTATTGTTCCTACTTAAACTTTTACCTGTTTTCAGCTTTGTATAGTTGAAGGAGAGTAATAGGCATTTTTCAAATGGTGTGTTTGAGTAGGTTTTTTGCTTCATAATTGGTTAACTTCAAAATTAGGTCTTTTTCTGCTTTCTGTTATCCCCTAATTAAACCTCTAGTTATTGTTTTCATCTTACTATTTGTATTATGAGATGATTGAAACCTGTATACTGTGGTTATTGATGTAATTTTTAAATGAAAGTCTCAGTTTATATATTTTTCAAGTAACTGGTCTTTATTATTATGAAGTCTCAGAATTAACATGTCGATATTCATCTTGTTAACCTTACATTTAGGACTTTTTGAAAATGGAAAATTGTGAGACCTGTGTAGGTTTTGATCTCTCTAAGATACCACTCTCCACTATTGCTCGGAAGATTATGTGTGCTCTGCATTCAGTTGATTTAGTGGATTCTAAGAACTGGGGAGAGAGTACAAAGAGTGAGTAATTTTTTTATGAGCCTTTCTATCTTTATTATGTTGAATGCTAATTATTCTCAAGAGTAGAAGAACTGAAAGTGGTGGAATGAATGTAGCAAAATTATCCCCTGGAACTTTATATTTTGTAGGGAAGTTCCATGCCTACACAAAAATTCACCCTTTTTATTCCCATTCAATGTTGAACTTCTGCCTGCTGAATTTTACAGTCCCTCAACCCTTGTTTAAATGTTTAACACTGTATTCCTTGTTCCAGGGATTTCTGTCAAAAAGTTCCTTTAGTCTGGATCAGGTATTTAAGTGCCTTCAAAAAAGATGGGCTTTGGGCTGGGGTTGTGGCTCAGTGGCAGAGCGCTCACCTAACATGCATGGGGCACTGGGTTCCATCCTCAGCACCACATAAAAATAAAAAATTAAGATATTGTGCCCACCTAAAACTAAAAAATAAATATATAAAAATTAAAAGAGAGAGACTGACTTTTTTTGGAGATGTAGCTTAGTGTTTGAGCACTAGCCTAGTGGGTGCAAAGCCCTTCCTTGACGCAATCCCCAGTACTGGGGGTGGGTGTGGGGTGGGTGGAGCTGGGCTCTTTCTCAGTGCCTCTTGGTTGGCTGTCAGGTCACTGAACCTGTACAGTTTTTGCTATTGTGGGTGGTACATCAGAGCAGTGTATTATACTCCCATGAAAATGTATTAACTCTAGGTGACAAAGACCAGTGGGTTTATATATATGTTTATGATGTGTACTATAATCATAAAAGCAGTGACATATGCTCACAAGTATGGCTAAACTATTTGTGACATCAGAGTTCATTTGCTACTAGCAAAGCAGACTTCATTCTAACTTTGCAGGTCTGGACCAATGATTTGTAGTTTCTTTCTTTTCCTATTGTATATTGTAAGTGAGATATTATTAAGTTATTAGATTGAAATAAAATAATTGAGAGGATTTCCAAATATCAGCACAAGTGCTGTTATAAACAATTTCTTGAAGATTCATTAGCACTTAACATTTCGATCTGTTCACATTCAAACATCTGTTGCTTGTGTGCCTTACAATAGAAATCACTAATAATAAATAAACAAGTGAGAATATTTGACCAATGTATCCAAATAAAAGGGATATTAAAGATAATTATTTAAACTGTGAATACCATTTTATCTTGTTCCCCTTTACTTCCCCTAAAATACAATTATTTTCCAGGTATTTAGTCCATACCCAGAAATTCTTATAAGCTTATTTATTTTTCCACAAATAATAGGTTATTGGATACAGTGGTGTATGTATGTGATTCCAGCTACTCTGGAGCCTGAGGCAAGAAAAGTGCAGGTTCCAGACAAGCCTGGGCAACTTAGACCCTGTCTTAAAATAAAAAATAGAAAGAACTAAGAATGTAGCTCAGTGGTAGAGCCTCTAGGTTCAATGTCATGTACTGTGGGGGAAAATCAGAAACTGGAGATGGGGATGTGGCTCAAGTGGTAGCGCGCTCGCCTGGCATGCGTACGGCCCGGGTTTGATACTCAGCACCACATACAAACAAAGATGTTGTGTCTGCCGAAAACTGAAAAATAAATATTAAAAAAATTCTCTCTCTCTCTCTCTCTCTCTCGTTCTCACCCTCTCTTTAAAAAAAAAAAAAGAAACTGTTGTATATTTGACAGAAGTAGAAATTCCCTTCTCTTCAAGAACTGATAAGAATAATGAAATGCCTCTGATAGCATAATCAAAAAATTGATTGTTGTCAGCCTTCAAAGTTATTGAGAAGGTAATGAAAAAAGATATTGTTTTTCTGCCAGGTATCTTTTTTTGGTACTGGGGATTGAATCCCAGGGCACGAGACCACCAAGCCACAACTCTAACTCTATTTTGTATTTAATTCAGAGACAGGGTCTCGTTGAGTTTCTTAGTGCCTTGCTTTTGCTGAGACTGGCTTTGAACTCACCATCCTCCTGCCTCAGCCTCCTGAGCCACTGGGATCTGTCAGGTATTCTTGGATCTGGAAAAACAGTGGAGTTTTCATAAGGATTTTGTATTATGTAATATTTTTCATTGGGCTGGGAATGTGGCTCAAGCGGTAGTGTGCTTGCCTGGCATGCATACGGCCTGGGTTCGATCCTCAGCACCACATACAAAGATGTTGTGTCCGCTGAAAACTAAAAAAAAAAAAAAAAAAAAATTTAAAAAATATTTTGTATTATTGCTAAGTTACTAAAAACTTACTAGCTAAAACATATTTGTTGTTGGACAGTTTCTGTGGGTCAGGAGCCCAGGCATGGCTTATCTGGGTCTACTGCAGGGCTGCATTGTAGGTATCAGCCAGGGATGGGGGTCTCATCTGAGACTTGGGTGAGAAAACATTCTCTCCTAAGCCACATGATTATTGGCAGAATTAATTTCCTTGTAGGCTTTCAAGTTCGAAGATTGGGGTTTCTCCCAGGTTCTTGGCTGGAAGCTGCCCTCAGGTCCTTTTCATGTGGTCTTCTCCATAGGCAGCATACAATAGGCGGCTTGCTGTTTTCAGAACCAGCAGGAAAGTCTTCCTAGCAAGACTGACATTACAGTTTTCTGTAACATGACCACACACATCATGTCACCTTGCTATGTCCTTGGTTAAAAACTAGT